GTCTTCTCCAAGATCTGTATGCATATGTATAATTATAATAACTTAAAAGTTTTGTAAAGTGACTCATCGTATTATTGCTGAATATTGTGTTTTATTTATATAAATTCACTAACATTTGCATTTAGGAACAGGCAATCTTCGAACTTACAACACTAGCTATCTTCACTTCGCCAACTGCAACCTTATAATTCAAGAATTTCCTTGCAATGTTCTGTATTGTAATTGTATTGTAGTGCGTCATGAATTTTTGTCATGAATTTAAGATATTAATAAAAATGTAGTTTTTTCACTATAAAACCAATTAATACTAGCACGTCATCATCATCATCAGCAACAAGGTTTGGGCCTAGTGGCCCGTTCCGCTCTCAAGAGTCTCTTTCCATCTTGTGTGCGGGCTCTTGCCTCTGGATCGTTTCCCTTGTTGTATTCGAGATAGTCTTGGGAAGCCGTTCTGTGGCATTCTGTCAGGTAGTCAACAACGATCTTTCCTCGTTTGAAGTCGACTTCTTCAGTATTCTGGAGATCTGTATTTCACCTCTGATTGTCTTTCATTTTCTTATATCTAGTAGTTGCTATATCTGCTAATGTCTCAGAATCTCATTTCTGCCGCTTCGATCTTTCTTTCTGTCTTGTACCTTATTGATTGCTCAGTTTTCGACATCCATAAGGTTAGCATGAGGACTGCCATAGTTTTGTAAAATTTTATGTGGGTGCTTTGTCTGGTCTTTTGCTTGGCTCTGCGTATAGTACCGCACAATTTCTGTGGCAATTTTTGGATCTTTATGGTTTATATCTTTTTTGTCTCAGTAGAGATGTTAAATCTAAATTAATAAAGTTGTTAACTTAGTTCATACTTTTTCCGTTATCACACTTTACATCTGATATCTGGTTTTTCCCCTGGATGCCATTGTTTTTTTTTTAGAGGTTATATCTTCAAGTTTATAATTTTCCCTTTAAGCTGCATGTAATGGGCCACTCTCTGTAGGCGTCTCTGAATTTACTAAAACTGGCTCCGGTCATCTGCAAAATAGAGTAGGTTTAAAATTTATTGCTATTTTAAAAATGTTGTGTTATTTACTGTTTGCCATTCTTGAATAATATTGATCGTATATATCTAAAATATTTATTATATATATACAAAGGTCGGAGACATCGGCACGTTTACCTTTGTATATTATTAGTTAGCTAAACATTAACTTTGCTTTGTATATTCAGTTAGGTTGTTCGCTGTTCCTTTAGTCAATACTTGATAGTGTTTTAAATATAAGCTTTTTGATGTTTCGTATTGAGTGGTTAGCAGTACTCCACTATTTACGCATTAATACTCCTAACTTTCCGAGAGACTTTGTCAAAAGGCCTTTCAAAATCTATGAACAGGTTATAGAGTAAGCGAAGGTTATTATTCCCGTCTTTTTCTGATTCAATTGTTGAACACATACTACGCAACGTAATACTATACTATCTAGGCCAAAGCTTTATCTTAAGAAAATACCACGCCATGTTGTTGAAAGAAAGCTCAAATCCCTTTCTAAACGAAAAACCTTTAGTGTTTGCCTTAATAATAGACCATTCAGTTATTATATCGTCTTTTGTAACGTTATGTGCGATGTTAAAATGAATAAGATCTTCTTGTGGAAAAATGGAGGGAAATGTGAAAGAGGGTAAAACATATAAAACTTGGTGTACTTTTTAACAGTAAGGAAATGCCATGACAAATTGAGGAGCGAATAAGCTTGGGAGAAACGTGACCGAGTATAAACTCATGTCTATATGGAACCAAACCATCACTAACACTACTAAAAGAACGTCTTTACTCCTTGCTAGTTAAGAGTGTTTACATATACGTGTTCAAAGTCTTGGGGAGATCGATAAAAAACAAAAGGGAAGCTGCTGGCTCTTGAAATGACACATGCGGTAGAGTGCTGTTATACAGGCGTGAACAGAATCCAGGAACGACGATATTAGAAATAAATGAGATGTCAAAAATCATCCTTGACCGAAAAAAGTTAAGGAATAAAAACAAAATCGTCTGTACGTCCATGTTATATGCGAATGACAACGAAAGGAATGGACCAAAACGCAAGTCTTGAAATGGGTGCCGAAGAAAGACAGAAAGAGAGGAACCAGAATTGCAATGCCAGCCAGGGAGTGCAAACCCAGCTATGACGGCCCAGAGAAATGCCAGGTGATCTATGGCCAATAGAGAGCATGGAGACTGACGAGCGGACGACGCCGACCAGCCTGTAGAGCAACTCCGTACTATATATATATATTATATATATATATATATATATATATATTATATATATATATATATATATATAATAATATACACATGTTGCGAAGAATGTTTTTGATTTAAACATCTTATCAATACATCAGCTAAAATATTTGGTGCTTTGATAACCTGCAGTCATATTATTCTGAGTATAACATTGTACAAGATGCTGCGGACTCTGCAAAAACTGCGACTGACAAGAGGAGTGAAAGTAGAAAAGTCAAGAGACTATTTAATAGGTTGTTGATGCGTGAATATGTGATAATGATAAAGCTATGAAGAAACAAAGACCTATATTACAGTTTTTGAGAGAATATTATAAATGGCCAAGAAAAGAATGTTTATATATAAAAATGGAAGGTGGTATACAAGAGTGGTACTTGTATATAAGAGCGGTAAACACCGACGTCAGGTGACAGATATCCATGAAAGTTGGCACATCACAATGTTTTTTCACCCAGAAGGTTTATGTGCTGTTAATTTTGTTGCAACTTCACCAGATGGCGCTGCAGAACAAATTTGCACGTCCTTTTAATTCAATTTCCATTTAAACTGCGCTCTGCCTGGACTTCATTGTTGCTAGGCGTTGCTGTGTGACGCGGCGCGAGGCCGAGAAGGTTACGACAGAGGCCCGCTTAAGTCAGAGTGAGAGACAGAGAAAGAGAGAGAGATAGAAACAGACATAGAGAGAGGCAGAGATTGATAAACAGTCAGAGCGAGAGAGACACGACTGCGAGAAGGGGACAGAGACATAGAAAGAAATAAACAGAGGGACAGAGAAAAGAGGAAAAGAGATAGAGAGACAGATGCAGAAAGACAGGAACAGAAGCCAGGACAGAGACGCAGAGAGAGAAATAGAGGGAGGCAGAAGATAGAGAAAGAGACAGTGAGAGGCAACCAGAGAGGGTTAAACGGAGAGAGATAGAAAGAGACAGAGTCGGGGAGAAAGACATATACATAGACACAAGAGAGACAGATACGCAGAGAGAAACAAAAATGGACTGACACAGGGACAGTGAGAGAGACGGAGAGAGAGTGAGACGGTGAGAGAAAGGGAGAGGAAAGGAGAAAGAGGGAGGTGGAAGGTAGGACAACATCTGCTGGGTTCCACTAATAATAATGATTATTATTATTATTATTATTATTATTATTATTATTATTATTATTAATAATATAATTATTATTATTATTAATATAATTATTATTATTTTTATTATTATTATTACCCCGAGTGGTGCCGGGGGTTTTAGAAGAATAGCGCGATGGGATCTCCCCCGTCGTAAGAGGCGACCAATCCGAGCATCTGACTGCTGTCCCTACCTAGTAACTCTATTTTACTTCGTACCAAAGACCCCGGAAGGCGGCCGGTGGATTGAGTAGCTTATCGTTTTTAATTTAACCTTTCCCAACCTATCCTATTATCTTATCCGCACTTTTCTTTACTTAATTCAGCTCTCAAAGTCCAATCCTGCGAGTGAGCGCGTTACACCTTTGACACGTGGGAGACGGGCAACGCTATAGAGAGTAGCAAGAATGGCACACCCATGGCAATATGGAGGTCTCGAACAAAAGTCGCTACCTGGGGAGCGCCAGTGGCAGTCAGGAGCTGAACAGGCGGGCCCTGGCCGGGTATCAGCCCGAACGAATGACAGCCGATAAGCAAAGAACCGCTTAAGATTAAGCATCTCCTGCGAAACGTGTTTTGTTGGACAGTATACCAGCAACCACCAAAGCGGGTTCATTAGGCAACGAATAAAATGGATTACAGAAATGAACAAAAATGTAATCCGTTGCTTTACGAGTGCTACAGCCCATTAAAGTAATATGATAAATTACAGGGTCCGACTGCACAACAAATTTCTTGAAATGTACCCTGGATTTGTAAGAATCAATACTGAACAAACCCTGACATGAGAAGAGCAATAATCAACACACACTTTTTGCCAAGCAAGAAATCAACTAAATCAAAACAGAAACGCAGATTAACAACAGCGATTAAAAGTCTGATACCAGAGATTCTATTAATAACCAAGAAACTCTAACAAAAACTAATTTAAATATGGACAACAGACCTGAGCCGCCAAATGATTTAAGATTAGCAGTCAAAAACTAGTTCCAGGCCCTGTTTACAAGTTTCTCTAGTATGAACGCCAGTGCAAAACCAAAGCTCCTGATACCGAAGATGTCAGTAAAGATGTGGAATATCATACGCGTTCTTAATAAAGATAAACTTCCAACGCAGCTACAACATAATGTAACATTAGAAGAACTTCATCACATTGTGTACTGTGCTTTCTCTACAGTTTTAAAACTATTGGAACCATCTAAAGAAACATTCAACAAAACACACAAAAGCAAAGAAAAAATCCCCAGCTGGCAAATAAGACAAGAAAACGAATTAAAAAAATTGAGAGCGAAAATAGGAAAACTTATACAATATCAGAAAGGCGTTAACACCAGGAATCTAAAGAAACGGGTGTATGAGATTATTACTCCAGTCAAATTGGAACAGCTGTCACATTGTACGTTAACATAGATCCTGGACAAATACACTCAGCAGTGTATTCTAAAAGGCTCCAAAGATACAAAACGGCTACCGTTTGTGAGAAACCAAATGCAGAATTTCAAGACCAAAAACTGTTGTACAGAAGACTAAAAACCATTAGTAATACGATCAATGGAAATAACATCAATGAAACCATCGCCCAGACTGAACAACTGATTACAGATTTCTGGTTCGGAATTTGGGAGGTACCTAAATAACAACAACAACAAAATAGCATGATATTAAATGATGAAAGAGAGAAAATGGAAAGTGTTGAAATTATGCTCTCGCTACATGTTAGTGAGAATGCTGTGCGAAAAGTAATAATGAAAACATCAAATGGAAAGCGTCCGGGGCTGACCATTTACACAACCTTTGGTATAAACAATTCCGAAGCATTCACAAAAGCCTCGCAGAATACTTTAATGGTATCATCACTAAACCTGAGAAAACAACTACATTTGTTTCTCAAGGAAAAACGGCTCTGCTACCTAAAGATCATTAAAGAGAAGACCCAGCGAATTATCGTCCAATTTCATGCCTTCCCACAATACACGAGTATTTATAATATATTATCACTAATACGTTCTATGCACATCTGGAGGAAAATAACATTAATAAATAAGAACAGAAAGGATGATATATATCATCCAAAAGCTGCAAAGATCAACAATCATTGATATGCTGATAGTCGCATGCAATAACAAAAAATGAAATGTCAGCATGACATACATGGACAAAAGAAAAGCATTTGACTCCATTCCACATTCCTATCTATTAGACAATCTTTACATATACAAAGTGCATCCAAAAATAACTAAATGTCATCTCCACATGATGGAGAACTGGAACATATTTCTGCACCTGTCAAATAAATCTCAATCTGTAAACTCTAGGCCCATCTATATTAGAAGAGGTATCTTCTAAGGCAACTCATTTAGTGCACTATAGTTTTGCTTGGTAATGAACCTACTCAGTAAAACACCAGGTAGCACGACATACGGATACAAACTAACCACACGATAAAACGTCAATTACATTATCACCCATCTATTGTAGTATTCATTTTAAAAAGGGGGAAATTGTAGTTTCCGAAGGATATTATGTAACACATGATGAGACCATTTAAGTTCTTGAAGACCCCCAACTAGTACAAATATTTAAAAACACAGAAGCTCAAAGGAATTGATCATACAAAAGTAAAAAAGAATTTGAAACACTCACTCCCCCTCACAACCTCTCACTGAGAATCAAAAGCATAGTAAGGACACAATTGTACATTAGAAATAAAGTTAAATCCATAAATACTTTGGCAATTCCATTACTTACATATTATTTTAGTCTCATTAAATGGTCAACTGCAGCTCTGGAAGATCTGTCAAGAATTATCAGATCGCAACTGACAGAATACCATATGAGACACCCCAATGCAGCACGACAGCGTGTCACTCTTCCTACATCCTACGAAGAATGGGCATAATCAGCATACCACGCCTCTTAAAGAAACAAATCTACGATCTGGTCGGAATTTAGGAGCCTAAACAGCAACAACAACAACAACAAAAGAACACTATATTAAATGATGAAAGAGAGAGAATGAAAAGTCTTGAAGTAATGCCCTCGCTACAAGTTAGTGAGAATGATGTGCGCGAAATAATCATGAAAACAAGTATTTATTTCCTCGTCTCGTAGCGGGGCTGCTCCAGACGAGGTAATGTGTCAGCCTCTCACCGCAATGACCGCGCAAAACGCACAGAGGGGCGTAGAGAACATTGATCGGGCAACACAACTAAGCTGCTCATCCTCTGCGGGCTTGTCCCCTACCTTTCAGAGAATTGCCCATAGTAGAGAATTGAATTGAATTGAATTTGCCTTATTTTACGTGGCGAGACTCGGGCCATCAGGCACGCTCTTCCGTCTGGACCACGCAAATTCGCTACGCTCCTTCCATCAACTAGCAGAGAAAGGAGGTATTTTCTATTGGGCGAGACAGGTCGTTTGAATTTTACTCAGAGGGCCATTTAGGCTTAGGATCTTTTACAATGCATCAAGTCTAGCATGGGCAAGAGGCTAGTCCGGCCCTCCGAAGGGCGTACGAAAGGATTTTTTCGACCTTAAAATCCACGGCTTCGAATCAGGTTGGAAACCCGCCAACTTTGGCTACAAACAGTCCAGTACGCAAACCGTTACACCATCGCTGCCGTGCGAACACACTGAGAATAACATGCACTCGGGAAATGAATATAGATATAATGCGTACATTTTATTTTGTAAATCAGTGCCAGGTCGAACCGCTTTCAGGATATAGACACCTGTTCCTTGCCGAATATAACAGAAAACATCCAGAGCTACACATGACTGAGCAGAATGTAATTGATACATGCAAGGCAATTATCCAACATGGCTATTTAAGTAAGATAGCATTAAGAAACCTTTAAAGGGAAGTTGGGTGCCTACTTCACAGGCAAGAAGAAATTGGCCAAAGCACAGAGCAACGCGAACAAGACCTCTAAAATACCTACAATAATTCACCCCAGACCGACACACAGGATACGAAGATATTAGACGTGTTCAACAGCTTAATTGAACACTTTCGCGGCACAGAACCAGCTAGCCGAACATTCATCCCTGTACTGAGGAACATTGAAAAAGCAAAGAATACAATAAAGAAGGTGAATAATATATTGGAGGAACATGTTAAAAACTTGGATGACCTAACGAAGCTACTCCTTTACAACTTCGACCACCAAGATCGAAAGCCATAATGAACCAATTAGTGTTCTTAATGTATGAAATTCTATTCAGCAACTGTTTTTAGTGTACAAGTTTTAAAAACAATTAATGGGAATGCATTCACATTTTTGCATTTGAAAAATCAATGTAATAATTTCTGGGTTCAAATTTACAATTAAATGTACGTGTATAAAACGAGGCAAAACTCTCCAAGCATTCATATGGGTTAATGCAATTAATTCCATTGTTAGTAGATTTTTTTAGCAACTGTAGCGAAAAAATGTGGGTTGTGGAACAACTTGCTAAAATTCCGAGAAACATCCATGAATTGCAAGCAGGGTACTACGCACACAAGAGGACCACCAGACAGTGGTGGTTTAGGGCCCCACGCAGTTCCACACATGGCGCCATCGACCAATGTCGTTATTATTATTATTATTATTATTATTATTATTATTATTATTATTATTATTATTATTATATTTATAGTATGTCAACCACTCACAGGAATGATGACCAGGTGTGCGGTTGCTTTATTATAGATCCGGGTGGCTTCTAACAATACGGCATGTATTCAAGATGACTGACTTCTGCATATTGTGTAATCCTGGCATCCAAGTGAAGACACTCCAGTGCCCGAAGTGGCATTTGCGTCATCACTCCTGTAGCTGATATTATTATAGGCACAGTTGTCACTTTACTGAAGTTCTACTGAGCTGCGCCTTCATGGGCGAGATCGGTATACTTCTGGATCTTCTCTTGATATTTTCCCGATATGTTGTGGGTATTGGGTATTGATACATCGATAAGGAAAACCAACGGATTGTGTGTATCAATGTAAGTTATATGGGGTGTATTGCCGCCGACGTGTCTGTTAGTGATAATGGAGCGATACCAGTAGAGAGTGTACTCTCTACTTTCAAGGACATTTTTATAATACGGCACGGAAGTGGCGAGTAAGCGCGTTTTCAATGCCAATAATGGAAATAATTGGCGGACCTGCTTTGCCACTTCATCATGCCTCTTTTTGTATTCCAACTGTGCGTGGCCGCTACATCCACTTGCCACGAGTTGGATAGTTTCGCTTGCAGCCTCACATCTTCTACACGAGTAGGAATGGATAGTAGAATCTCTCAGAATGTGGTTTCTGTAGTTCAATATTGGCGCCACTTGGTCCTGGATATCTATCATGAAGGCTTCTGTCTCCGGAAAGAGATCCCCGTGCTGGAGCCATGCGTGCGACGCAGAGATGTCTACTTCTGGTTTACTCAGCTCATGGGGGTACCTTCCGTGCAGTGCCTTCGCTTTCCATGAGGCTATCTTCTCTTCCGTTTCAGTGATTGGTTGAACGGGCGGATCAAGCTTTTTCAAGTTCAGAGGACTAGTTATTATCAACTGCGTTCACTGCTTGCTAAACTCTCCCACAATGTTCCAGAAAGTATCTTGTGAGTGATGCAATTTGAGAGCTGTGTATATTTATGATATCTAAAACACCTCGCCCTTGCGATCTTGGAAATGTAAAACGCTCAGTACTTGAATGAGGATGTTATTTTCGGTGTTGAGTCATAGAGGTTCGAATTGTTCTCTAGAGTTTGTCGAGGTCGGTATTGCTCCATTTAATAATGTTAGAGTATGTCAGCAATGGAATAACAAATGCATTGATGGCCTGCACAAGGTTTCTAGCAGAGAAGTTGAGTTTTTAAGAGTCCATGCACTCGTTTACACACTTCAGTTGTATGTTCTTAGTACCAGTGTGCTTGATTCAGAGTGACTCAGTATTTGTAATCTTCATAGGATTCCATAAACGTAATATTTGGTTCATTATCATTTTCCAAATTTATTACTTGCATATAGCCCTGAATGATACTCTCCTGCACTTATCCAAACCGAATTCCATCTTGATGTCGTCAGTGAACTTCTCCTCACGCTTATTAGTTCTTATTAGTTACCGCATTTGATTCTGTGTCTGCATAGAACTTCAAGTCATCCATGTAAGAAGATGCAAGACACGAATGAGGGTTGTGTTCCCTATTTTAAGAATGCGATAATTAGATGCATTTAGTATAGGAGTCAGAGGATTGAATGCTAAGCAGAACAATAAAGGGCTTAAAGGGTCACTGTGGAAAATTCCTCGGCGGATGAGTATAGTATCTACGTGGACGGATTGTTTTCCATTAAAAAGATACAGTTTTATATTTCATCAACTCATCACCGTTTTCAGGAAGTTTTGGACAAACGGGTGGACCTTGTATACATCCAAACATTGAAGGAGTGAATAATAGGGCACGGTGTCGAATGCTTTAGCGCAATTTATGTTGCATTCGTGCAAGTTTCTTGTTTTTCAAGCACTTGCCTCATAACTGCAGAGTCGATAATGAGTTGCTTCAGGCATCCCTGAAATCCTCACTGAAGGTAGAACAAGAACGTTCTACCTTCAGTGAGTAAGTAAGACATATTTTTGGGGTAGGGAAGAAAATATTGAATTGTATTAGCTATATGATGGTGAGTGCTGGTAAATTTTTTGAGCCAATTTTTGTGCAGGCCATCACTGCCTGGTGCCTTCCAGTTATGTGCTTTGTTCAAAACTGCTTAGACAACTTCCACGGTGATGATTGGTTCACCCATTACAAGGATATCTTGGTGTCTGTCATATTCCATTTCAATCCATATCATATCTGGGTTGTGGAACACAGTAGATAATCAGATAGGCTTCTATCTGTGCCTTTGAGAGAAGCTTTGACTCTTTCATATCACTTACAAGCCCTTTGCCCTTTTAAATATTCCTGTAGAATGCTTTCTCGTTTCTGTTAAAAAGAGTATTCTGTTGCTTCCTCAGTACAATTCCTGTATCGTCGAAGAGTTTTGTTAATGCCAAAAGCTTTTGTCGTAGGGTGTCAAGATGTTCTGTTATTGTTGAATTCAAGGGCTCGTGCTTCGTGTGCATTTTTGTATTGATGAGGATGTTATTCACCTTTCTTCTCAGTTTTTCTGAGGTATTTTTTTTTAAATTGTGTGAGTCTCCCAATATCTCTCCTAGTGCGTTCTATGCGATTCTCCAGCCGTCTTTCCCAAACATTCTTTTTTCACTTCGATCGTTGTGGGCAGTTGCCACGCGGCTAAAATCTTGGAAGCGTTACATCTTGAAGCCACAACCGCAGCACAATACATTGCTGTGTGTATTTCTTCGAATGATGGTCTTTGTCGTAGATATTGTGGCAGTACTTTGTCATTCAAGACGCTAATAGCTCTTGCTACTTTCTTCGAGCAATTTTGTCTGGGAATGAGATAGCGGTTCAGTGGATCAGTACCTTCAAATTCCGCAAGTGCGACTGCAAATTCATTGCGAATTTCCACCTCTTCTCTACTCTTATCATCCATACTTTTCTGACATTGCTTGTACATTTGTCCCCTCCTGAGTTTCGCAACAACTGATTATCTCTTCCACTGGCGCCTCAGTATACTATGTCAGGCTACTCTGAGGGAGTTATCCTTAGCTGTTCTTCACATTCGTTCCTCGTTGATTGCTTCCAAAACTGGTGCAAGGGAACGGCTTTTCTTAGTGGGCGGTGGTGGGGGGGAAGTTGTTGTTGGGAGCTAGACTTGTGTGTACAGGGCACTAAAAAAATTGCGGCGGACGTGGAGAGGAGATTTTTCCTGAACAATTGCTCGACAGCTGGTACCTCGCTATCTTTGGTTGCTCACTAACTTTGAAGGATCGAAAAGCAGAAGAAGAAATCACTTTGAGTGTAACTTTTGGTGGGTAGGGGGCCGTGGAGTGTCAGTCCTCCATTTGTGTGTGGATGGTGGTAGTATTCACGCATGAATGAAGGGGGGGTAAGTTTATTGGTCTGTACTCCACTTCCATCGTTGTGCGTTGGGCCTGCCTGCCACAGTTGGGTCTCTGGACAGCAATAGGATTGGCATTCTTGGGAGCGACTTGCGGCAGGTGCAGCTATAATGTGGAATGGATTTGGGTGCTTAAGGTTGCGATCGCCTCTCGGCTTGGGGGACTTCCTGTCGCAGATTCGGGGTTATCCCCGATCTGGGCCCGCTGATCACCACCGGCTCGCATGCTGTCACCTCCAGCTCCGAAGGTGCCCTGGCGCACCCCTGGCAGTGGCTGCTTTTCCTAGACCTTGCGACTAATATTCCGTGTCTACATATCTATATGTGTGTGCCGTCGCCCTGTTTGCCGCCAAAGGTTCTGACGTTACCCTCTCCCATGTGGCTAATTTCTCAAATGCTCGGACGAAGGGCTGGTCTTTGGGATACATAGCGTCCTCAAGAGAGTCCACCCACAGAGAAAAATGGTGTTCGCGCCGCTGTCACTGATGCCGACCACGATGCCGCGCTCACTCTCCGTTTGTTGGCGCAGCTGCTGGCGGGCCAGTGGGCGCCGGACTGGGAGGCGCTGCTGCAGACGCCGCTGGGGCTGAGTCCGGAGCGGCTGTGGGCGCAGCTGGCACGGCGAGACGAGTTCCGGCAGGGCGAGCGCCTCTCGCAGCACGACGCCGCTGTCGTGGCCGCCCTGCGCGCCGTCTTCGACCCGCGTCCCGACTCCCCGTCCGCCTGCATGTGAACGCATCCAGTCAGCCCTCGGTCTCTGGGCTGCTAGACCCGTTAGCGCGAGGGCTGTGTTCCTTCCCGCCAGAACGTGATTCCTCGTGCAATGATTCCATCCAGGTATCTCGGCCTCTCCACCCGAGACAAGCTCTTGACACGATTGGTCTCCCGTCGTGCGTGATAATGCAATGCACGTAATGTGGTAAAGGAAATAATCTCCACAAAAGTTTTAATAATTTTATTAATAATTTTACAGAGTTAATTTTCGGAAAAACACTTTTCCCATCCTCAGTGGATCTTGCCCAAGCAACGTGGATCTCCCATGAATGTTCACAACATGGTCAAAAAATATGAAAACAGCAAAACATGCTGGTTACAGCTAGGTGACAGCCATCTTGATGGCTAGTTGGCATCTTGATGGCTAGGCTCCAGCTAGACACAATACAAATTTTAAGTTTATATTAATAATGCGATTCTGTGTTTTATTTCAAGAATTTGTATACACTGGTGTCTGCCAAAAACTACGAATGTAAGAAAACGAATATAAGAAACGAAAAACGAAATATGAAATACTATACAAGTTCTAACTTACGTAGCATCCAAATGTCTGGAATCTCCATTTTATGTTCATGAAAAGTAGGATATTCGGACTATGTTTGACACCAAATTACTGATATTTTCGAAAAATGCAATATGACAAGATCTGTTTTGGATGAACAAATTTCATTAAGGAAAAAACTTCCTAATTGTAGTTGTAGGAAAAGGCCCCAAAAATTTCGGGTTTTAACGAAAATGAGACCTACACCTTTTTCTTAAACGCTCTTCTTTGTTACCGTTTCTCTTTCTCCATGAAGTAAACACAGACTTGTACTTCAATAATTAATTTATTAAATCATAGAATACCTTAACCAGAGAGGAGCGTACGTGCTAACGGAACCTTCCCGTTGCCATGCCTTTTCAAAAATGCCTCTCCGATACACACACACGTCTCTCCTTCGCTTCCGCTCTACTGACTTCCAAAATATGGCATTCCTTACAGAAATTCGGGCAACTGCGAAATCTGAAGACGGGAGCGGCTCCTGCCTAGTGTGTCCGCCCCCACCCGCGAACACCAAACTATCCAAGATCACACTATCCAAAAACAAATGTAATCAAAATCGATGGGGCCTGCATCATTCTGAACTGAGCGTAAGACCTATATCATTCTGTTCAGTGTTCTATGGACTATCCGAGGTTAAAATTTAATAAAAAAATGTGATGCCGCTTTGGGTTTGTCCATGAATTACGTAATGCTAAAGAGAAAGCTTTAACCCAGGTGGTTAGGGGCAGCCTTACATAGGGGTTACTGCGTTACGTAGAGGTTACTGCGTTACGTAGGGGTTGCTGCGTTACGTAGGGGTTGCTGCGTTACGTAGGGGTTGCTGCGTTACGTAGGGGTTGCTGCGTTTCGTAGGGGTTGCTGCTTTACGTAGGGGTTGCTGCGTTACGTAGGGGTATGGGGTATTAGTTTGTTGCGTACGTTGTTTTAAAATATATATTCAAATGTTCATTTGTTGAAATAATTCATTTAATTTAGTCATTCTAAAACATTATGATATGAATAAATTAAATTCAAATATAAGGAATTATTTTGTAATTGTTACACTAAGTGGATTTTTTAACGGTTTATTTATTGAATCTGTTAGATTATGAAGAAAATATCCAATACTGATCTGTAGTATATTCTAGAATAAAATTACCTATTAATTGTCACTTTAGTGTCTCGTCCATACGTCATCCACGATACGGCTCGTCAAAAATTCTCTCGCCTACGCCTCCTTCCTTCACTCAAACATCATCTCCAATCTTATTGTGCGGTCTGCATCACCAACTACCAACTTTAACGTAGGCTATACAATACAAATAAAATTAATACTAATAGTTTTTAATATTGTATAACGTTTTTACTTACAAAAAATGGGAGGAGGAGACAAGTGTTTTTAGAGGGAGGTTCAAGCGCGCCTTACAGTTGCGTCACTGGGGGGAGTGGGGGTATTTAAAACACATTAAATTTGCATTACGTAGTTTATGGACGGCCCCCTTTGAGTAAAAATTGTTAAAACAAAATTAAAAATTGTCTATATTTCACACAAAAATACGCGAAAAGTACTCATATTTTTGAAAACTTGTACATGTCCTTATTTCAAAATCTGTCTTAAGGCAGGGGCGGATCTAGAGACAAATTTTGCGTATTCTGGGTTTGTTTATGTTGTTGGGTATGCTAACAAGTTTCAGGATATGGGGTATGATTTCAGGTTTTTTTAATTGAATTATTCAGATTTAGTGACAGATTTTTTTTACTTTACTTAATGGTAATCATCAATTCCAATTTAAATAATTTTGAATTATAAATGTTTAAAAGAAGTGTCAGAAGAATATTTGTATATTTCATGAATACTAAATATGCATTAACACATTATCTGAGAAGGAGGAATGGGACAAGGATGAGGAAGGAATGATTGCAGCTCGTTGCCCGTTTGTTGGGGTGCCGTTCCGGCATTTGTCTGGTATTGATCGGAAAACCCAAGGAAAATCACCGATGAGAGCAGTCGAAAGCAGCAGAAAAAAACTTTATATGGAACATCACAAAACAAATACTAAAAAAGAAAACAATAATTCCACCTATCAACTCACTTAAAGGTAAATTATTCACTCCTTCTGACAAGGCAGAGGAAATAGCCATTTACTTTGAGTCGTCTTTCACCCTCAACCAACCTAAACTGCACCCGGAACACAACACAATAATACAGTCAAACCTCCCAAACTACGGCCCACACCACAAAATGCATTTCACAAACCTTAAAGAAATAACACAAATCATTAACTCCCGATAAAGAAAGCGCCAGGTCACGATAATATCAATAATTCAATACTAAAGCACTAACCCCCCAAATTGCATACTTTAAAAATACTATGTACAATTCATGCTTCAGAACAAATCATTTTCTATCCACTTGGAAGCATGCCCGTTCCCGTTCCGAAACCAAATAAAAATTCAGCAAACACAGATAGCTCTCGTCCCATAAGCCTTCTGCCTCAGTCCAAAATCTTCAATAAATAATACTCCAATGACTCAAAAGCACCTACAGTTAACAAAAGTAATCCCAAGGGAGCAAAGTGGATTTACTGAACAAAACTGTCCACACAACACAAACGCCTCAGAATTACAGAACATCTTAACACAGTATTTCAGAAAAAAACACTAAATACTCATATCACTCGACATATCACAGGCATTTGAGAGAGTATGGCAGCATGCACTAATATATAAACCGAAGAAAATCGGCACTCCACAGTACATCATCTCAATAATCCAAAACTATTTATCCAACAGAACCTTTGCAGTAACAATCAACAATTATTAACTGAAATTCCAAGTTAATCAAAGCAGTATTACCACAAGGATCCCCCCTATCACCCATACTATTCAATCTGTATGTAGCAGACATCTTCATAGATCCAACACTAAAACAGCACAGTTTGCAGATAATACACATATCTCTCTTCCAACCATCCCATAATCAACATTAAAAACAACATACATATCGAACCCAAATAGACAGGTGGTAATCCAAATTAAAAATAAAATTAAACCTAAACAAAACTGCAACAAAAATTTTCTCTTTAAGGTCATACACTGCCCCAACCACATTAACATTAAATAATGAGCCCATTCCATTATACCTCCCAAGTAGGCCCATTAAATATCTTGGACACCAAAATGAACGGGAAACAACATATATTCATTGAAATAATACAAACTAAAAACCAACTGCATAATTAAAAACTCTAATTAATAGGAATAATTACCTCCCATACAAAACGGCAATAATATTATACAAAACAATAATCAGACCTACTCTTCTCTACGCCTGCCCAGTATGGATTAGTGCTGCAAAAACAAACATCAACAAAAGTTCAAATAGTACAGAATCAATTCCTTCATTCCATCACTAATGCATCCTGGATAATATCTAATCACAAATTACATAATGAATTCAAGCTCATTTCAATCATTCACCTACCTATCCCATAACTTCTTCTCTAATATACAGCATATCCAAACTTTATCTACATGCAAACTCTGCAAAAGCCCCATTCACCCTAGTCGCCTTAAAAGTAAATATCAGTATCATATATTCTGTAAAATGTTTCCAGATCTAGAATAGATTCTATGAGGGCCCACCATGGTTTCCTCAATCTCTCTAATAGTAAGTTAGGCTAAGTTGTATTTATTAAGCCATCAATACATATGTATAGTTGTCAAACTGATGTTTATACAAAACAATCAAATAAAACGAAAACCACATTGGAAATACAAATTGAGTAAAAATTAAAAAGGCGAATGTGTTAAAATAGAATTAATATTGGCATATTGAATAGTAAATTATAATTAAAAGTAAATTATTTTTCATATAATTCATTCAATTTTTCTCGTGGCCCGTAGTTGTGATATTTTTTCATTAATTTCAAGCAGAAATTACGCAAAAACTACTGGTTTTTTTTTCAAAACATTGTACATGACCTTTTTCAAGAGCATATTTTGTACAAGACTTACTCTGAGCCAAAAATTTCCATCTTCAATTTTGTAGTTTTGTAATTTTTTTGCAATTTTTTAAAAAAAAAACGATCAATACGCGAAAACGAGACGAGCGCCATATTTCTTAGAATTCCTTATTACATATGTGGAGAAAATTTAAATAAAAGATTTGGAACGGTTTTTGTACATTGTTTTTTGGAAATTTCAATCGCAAAATACACAAAAACTATTGTTGTTGGGTTTTTTTTCTTCAAAAAATTTATATATCCATTTTTGAAGAGCTAATTTTGTACATCAGACTTTTAGGAAAATATATCTATCTTCAATTTTGTAGGTTTTTTTTCAAAAAACGAGCGATATCCGAAAATTGCTCTAGCACCATCTTTTCAAGCCTCTTATTACGTAAGTGAAGAAAATTAACGAAAAAATGTGGAGCGGATTTT